CCTAGCAGACCTCTGCTGGGTGCCCTGCCCTAGGCTGGAAAACAAGAGGGCACTAAGCCATGCAAGGCCCATGTTCCAGCCGAAATTCTTTTCTTCATTAGCTGGGTGACGCTGAGAAAGTCACTTAACCTCTCTGAGCCCAGCCATTCTGTATACCCAGTGCAGATGGGAATAGTCTCTTTTCTGTCCAACCTACCCAAAGTCAGAGTCACAGGCACTCGGGGCTGAGAAAGTGCCTCCTCTGGAAACTGACATGGCACTTCTGTGTGAAGGATCCTTCTCTTTGAGAGGCCCGACTTGTCAGGCTCTAAGAAAGTATTCTCTGCCTCCAAAGAGCCTTCCACTCCCTGAATCCCTTGATTTATCATGATGCCTGAAATTGTGCCATCCACCATTCTTTTGGTAAAGTATTTTTGATTATCTATATCCAAATGGTCCTTGTTAAAAATGTCAAATGATCTGGAAACGGTAACACATTAGCCCAGGAGCAAAGCCTGCTTTACCACTCAGGAACATCTCTGATGCTCATTCTCTGGCACCGATGTTGGAAGGCAAGCAGGTGTGAGCCTTCTGGAGATCAGGGTGGCAAAACTTAGCAAAAGCTTTAAAAATATGCTCACTCTTTCCTGAAGCAGTTCTTCCTCTGGAAATTTATTCTAAAGAATCATTGTGTTCAAACCTGTATACAAGGAAGTCGTATTTATAGTTGTACAGAAGTAACCTAAATATCCAAGAACAGGTAACGGGCTAAGTAATGCTGTGTATGTAGAATGAAATAACACTGGGACCTGCTTCACGGGCCTGTGAGCAGAGCAGCCCCACAGGCTTCTGTACCCAGAGGGGCCCCTCACTTGGTTTAATGCTCTGCTGTCACTGTCTTAAAATTCCTAATCATTTTTTGCAGGGGAGGGTATAGCCCAGTGGTAGAGTGTGCGCTTAGCATGTACAAGGTCCTGGGTTCAATCCTCAGTCCCTCCATTTAGATAAATATATACATAAATATGTAAATAAATAAACCTAATTACCTCTCCCCCCAAACAAAATTCCTAATCATTTTTGAAAGGAGCCCTCATTTTCATTTTGTGCTAGGCCCCACAAATTTTGTAGCCATTTCCTAAATATTGTGTAACAATTAAAATAATGCTTATGAAGAATATTTGCTGAAGTGGAAAATTGCTTCTATTAAATGAAGAAAGTAGGGTTCAAAACTGTAAATGATGCAATCCTGATTTTTTAAAAACAAATATATATATATATATATATACACACACACACATATATATATCTGCAGTTACCCACCTCCCTTCCACATGGGGCAGTTCCGTTATGAGCCCTGCCTCCCCCTGTAGGTGGATAGATAGGTAGATAGATAGATAGATAGATAGATAGAAATACATATATAAATGTAGATATAGATATAAAGACTAGACAGAAATACACCAAAATGCTAGAATAATTATCTCTGAAGAAGCAAAATTACAGGTATTCTTTTCACTACTATGTTCTTTTCAAAGATTTCTTGCATTTTCCAGGACAAGGGTATGGATGTGCTCATTGACTCTAATATTTCCAGCAGAGGTAGAAATGTGTACATCGTACCTGAGAACCAATGATTCTTTCTTGGCCTCTGATTGGGTGTGGAGCCCTCAGGTAGAGTTCTGGATAAACACAGGGGGAGAAGTTCCGTTGATGAGGAAGCCAAGCATTCTTATGAGCTCCTCGAAGTTGAGGACCATCTGAACTCTCAGTCCGCATTGCCCTTCACAAGCCTGGCATAGACAAGGTGCCCAGCGAATGGGCATCTTGTCTTGTGGCGTGAGGTCATTAGTGGTCTTTACCCGTGACACACCTCGTCAGATATTAACGTCATTCTGCTTGGACTCAGAGACAGGACCTTCTCTGTGGTTTGGGGCTGGACATGTGCCTCAAGTGATCTCTGGGCCAGGGAGAGGAGCCACCTCCACCCCAAGTCCTCCTGGCCCTCTCTCCCTCTGGGAACAGGCTCCAGGGGCAGAGGGCGGATTGATTCCTATGCAAAGCAGGGGGAACACTGGCTCCACCTGTCACCTCTGTGCCCCCATCTCATTTCAGGCTTCATCCCAACAGCAGAGGGTGGTAGAGACCAGCAAGCCCAGGAAAGAGACTGGGGCCCAGAGGAGGGATGGACTTGCTCAGAGTCTCACAGTGAACAAGGGGCAAATGGCATTCTTACCACTACAGAGGGAGGCAGGGCTCATAATGGAACTGCCCCATGTGGAAGGGAGGTGGGTAGCTGCAGATATGGGAGATGCCCACTGCACCTGCACTCAGGTCCCTGTCTAGATCATGAGCTCCTGTCCGTAACTCGGTGACACTGGGCACCTAGGGAAGCAGTGTAGTCCAGTGGAGAGGGGGACTTCAGAGTCCCACAGATTCGTGTTCCGGCCTGGCTCCACCACTGACACCTGGGTGAGCTTGGCAAGTCGCTTAGCCTGACCTGTAGAACAGAGATGCTAACCCACGTTCCACATGGACAGTCATTAGGATTCAGTCAGCACAAGGTGCCTGGAAGAGCTACCGTTTGTACTTACAGTTGGTGATTTATATCTAAGGTCATTCTCCGTGCAGTAAAAAGCTCTGTGAGGGAAGGCACGGGGTATTTTTAGCATTCCAGGACTGCAAAGGTTGAAACAGTGAATGAATGAAAGAAATGAATGAATGAATGTCTGGGGATAGGCTCAGTAACTCTGAAAAGTCTGCCTCTCACCACCAAGATGCAGGCCAGCAACCCTCACACCCCCCACATCTGAGGGGCTCAACCCTCAGAAGCCCCCACTCCCTTCCCAGCCCTGTTCTCTGCCCTTGTACTGACAGCCCCACCCCAGTGACTTTTCCTCTCCTAATTACCAATTTAAATGAAATTTATGAAGGTTTTTGTAAATTTCAAAACTGATTTGCATGCTTTAATAAGAACACGTGATGGTCAAGATGTATGAGGCTGCAAATTTTCTATAATGAGATTGACTTGCACCCCCCCCCCACCAAGATCCTCAAGGTTGGGGCTGCCCCTCCCCCAGCCCTCAGGAGCTGCTGGTTCCAGACTGACCACTGTGTTTTTTGGTTTGGCAGACCACGGTGAGCTGGGATGGGGATAAGCTCGAGTGTGTGCAGAAGGGCGAGAAGGAGGGACGCGGCTGGACCCAGTGGATTGAGGGTGATGAACTGCACCTGGTAGGTTCCAGGAGTTGGGGGGCGTGGGCCACGCTGGTCCCCAGAGTCCCTGGTCATGTTGGGGTCCATATGGACCTTAGAAGAATTCCCTATGGCTGGGCTTTGGTTTTGCTCTGAAGTTTCTCTTCCAAGGCCCTGGAGAGAATGCCTTTAAAAACCAAGCAATGTGTTTTCAAGGTCTAGGCTGACCCATTGTCCAGTCAGAGGGAGGAGGTGAGGCGGTGCGTCTGCTAAGCCTGAGACGGGGAGCCAAGCCCTTTGGCATTCCATATCTCTTTCTATGGTTTCAGCAGCCCTATGGGCCAGGTACTGTCATGTTCTTATTTTAGCAACGTGGACATGGAGGCTCACATCCAAGTAACATAGCTAGAAAATGGCAGAAGGAAGATTTGCTCTCAAATGATACATATTTTCACCACACCAAATTGTGGCAAGCCAGAACCAGGGAGAGTTCTCTAAGCTTCTCAAGACATGATCTTGTTCCCCGAAAACTGGGTTCACCTCTCGATAGGTGTCGAGCCAAAAGACACAACCACGCCAAAGAGCGGGAGGAGGAAGGGTCATTACTTGCAGCAAGTAAGGAGAACACTGGGGGTCTTTCCCAAAGCAATTTCTCCCCAAACAGCAAAATTGGAGAAGTTTTTTAAGCTAAGGGCACATGCATATTTATGAAGGGGCTTAAGCAGAGGAGAATTCTGCATAGAATTGGGGCCAAGGTTGACGGAGTCCAAGTCAGAGGGTCAGAAATGTCAGTACCATCATCCCGTCCTCACCTGGGCGGGGGCCTTAGTTCCTATAGAACTCAAAAACTGTATCTGACTGTTACGTTCATCCCCTGAGGAGGGACTGGGACTCTGTTTTATCACTGAATTATTGTTTCTTGACTGCTTTTCCTTGGTTCCTGCCTTCACACACTGCCCCTAAGAGCATTAGTTACTGAGACCTGTTCAAGGGCCAGGGTGGTGGCCAGGCTTAGATCACGCTGCCAAAGAGCAGGAATTCACTTTATTCTTAACTCGGAAGCAATCCTGTTGTTAATGTTGTAGCCGGGGTCGGGCAGCATGGGGGCCGGGGCCCCCGTCGTGCTCGCTGAGGAATCCCGGAGCTCTCCCAGTTCAGGCTCACTCTCGCTGGAGGTAGACCCACTGTTGATGGCGTAGACGCTCTCTGCTACTCCCTGAGCTGAAGCACAGCCATCTGGCTTCTTCTGGCTTCTCTTACGTCAAGAAAGCCACATCTGGTTCTCTTTCTCTGGAGACCCCCTACCCTATCCACTTACAGTCTCAACAATCAAGGGCCGAGGAGGAGAAGCCTTTCTTAGGTCAGCTGTGGGCCCCGCTCACCTGTCCTCCAGCCTGAGACCTCTGGTCAAAGCCACTTGCACTCCACCCACTGTGTGGGAAGAGCACACACAAATCCAGAATAGAGAACTTAGGGCTCAAGTAACTCATGCCCTCTGAGAGGAGACCCCCCATCACTCCTTCTGCTTCCTTGGAGCTTCCTTCTGAGAAGGGAGCCCGGTCCAGATGACCTGGGTTCTGGTTCTGACTCTCCAGGTTCATGTCAAC